CAATGCCAAAAATAGGAAGGCCAAATATTATAAAATCCCGACTTCTTTTTTTTGTTTGTTTTTTAGTTGAATAACATTGTTTGGTGCACTTTTTGTTATCTTTTAAGGTGAAAGGTGAGTTAGAATAAGTGCACCAAATAAAATTGTATATATTAAAATAATTACAAATTGACATTTTGCACTTATGCCAACTCGCACTTATGCCAGTTCGTACTTGAGCCAGTTTTTGCAACTGATTTGCATTTATGACAGTTCGTACTTATGCCAAGTTGCACTTTTTGCCTTTTGGTTATGCCAATTCGCACTACTTGCAAATTTTTTAACGCACTTATGCCAGTTCATAAGATGAATGCCAAACGGTTGCTAAGAAAATTGGTGAAAGCATGTTCTGGGGTTTTGTTTGTGATATTTGTTTGTAATTTTCTAAAATTTTGATAATTAAAAAAAAAAATTAACTTTAAAAGGTTGTTGTTGAATTAAGTTGCGATGAAAAGTTTGAGATCAACCCATGGAAGGCTAGATTATGTGTTAAAATTGTAAGGCCTGGCGAAAGTGATCTCCCAGGATTTTAACTGTGATTTTTGCACTTAATTACTATAATTAGCATTTTGTTCATTATTACACAACAATTTTTGTGATTACCTCATGGTGTGTTCAGAATTACTCTACGTACGTAGAGTAATTCCGAACATTATTTATTTATTTTTACCAAAAATTTGTATTAATAAAATAAGTAATAAAAATTATAAAAATTGCTTTCAAGATTTTTTACTGAATAAGTAAATTTGTTACTGAATTAGAATAGGTAGACTAAATGATAAGCAATAAGTATGATCAATTTTGAATAACTAGTGTCGCATTCCCGCTTATCTGTTTGCCAATACCCCACTCTCTCCTACTTTAAGAGTTCGATGACTTTTTAGTTCGTGGAGACCATTTACTGCTTATTGTTTCAATCGAGGATCATTTCAACAACTCCAAGAATGACGATGAGTGAGGGATATAGCTGTTTTAAAGTGAGCTTTACGGCTTCTTGTTATTTTTTGAAAATAATTACTTAAAGAGTGTTACTAATATTTTAATAACATTTGAAATACTAAAGATAATTTTGTTCTGGAAAAAGATTAATAACACCATTATAATTTTTTATCTTATGATTTTGAAATGAAAAAGGATAAATGAAAAATTTGATTTTTAATTTACCAGGCAAATAATAAGCATAGCTAAATTATCTATTAATTTATTGTTACTTTTTATTAAAACAAAATACAAAAAAATATCTTTTAGATAATTATTATCAAATATAAACATTGACATTACACCATTATAATTAAAAAAAAGTTTACTTAAACTAAATCGTGGTATTAGCATCGTATTAAATTAAACCGTGGTATTTGCATCATTCCGACCTTTACAAAAGTAGTAGAATATCTTATTTCAATAATCTGTCCAGAGATAAAAGAAACTCATCCACTTTAATTCGATTTTACTAAAAACAGCTCAACCTTACATGCTGAAATTGTTATAAGTGAAACGATAAAACATTACAACAACAACAACTTACCTGTTTATCTCTGTTCCCTAGATGCTGAAAAAACATTTGACAGCTGTAGCAGGGACATTTTATTTGAGAAACTATACGATAACAAAATATTACCCCTTTATATTATTAATACTATATCGTCATTGTACCATGAAAGCAGTGCTTCTGTCACATATCTAGGTTGCAAGTCATATTCATTTTATCTAACACAGGGAGTGAGACAAGGATCGATTCTGTCTCCTTACCTGTATAATATATATACTGAAAGCCTACTTGAAACCATACAAAATAAAAGTATCAATTTATTGAAATTACACAGCTGTTGTAGCATACGCTAGTGACACCATTCTTCTTAGTTCTACTCTGTCTGGAACAAAAAAGCTTATAGCAGCTTGTAATATATACCCTAACGCAAATTGTATAAAGTTGAAGGCTAATAAGACCGAGTTCTTGTTCACTGGAAAAAAACAAGTTGCAAACTACACGACCACCAACAAATAAAACTGGATGATAAACTTAAGCATCTAGGTTTTATATGGGATACTAAAAGTTCTTTTTTTACCTCACTTAATCATTCAAATATTGATAATAGAATATCAAAAATTAGGGCAATAATTCAAACTCTTATTCAGCCTGGAATCCGCTTTGCTCATCCAAGCTTTATCGTCCAGCTATATAAAACATTAGCGGTTCCGGTACTTACGTATAGTCTTGAACTTTGCGATTATAAAGACATACTAATGCAAAGGCTTGATATAATAGGGAGGAATGCACTTAAGTCACTCTTCAATATTTCCAAACACAGCAAAAATTACATTCATTCTTTTTTTTACATCCAATACGTATCAAAAATTTTACAGCAAAACAAGTTAAACTTTATTCATTTGCATATTGAGCAATAAAACAACCTCTGGTATTGTAAATTCGCAGTTTAAAAAACAAACCGCTAAGCACCCTTTTCTAGATGATGTCATAGGTTTTCTAGATGATGTCATAGGTTTCTAGATGATGTCATAGGTTTATGCAATCGGAATGAACTCAATCTAGAGAGCTTAATATTAAGCTTTTATATTATAAGCATTATAATGCAAAACAAAAAAAAGTAAAAATTATTGTGTTAAAAAATAAAATTCCTAAAAAAGATCTTCAAAAGTTAAGGTGGTATTTGGGTGAAAAAAAAGTAAAAATTGAAAATTTCAAAGTGAATGTTTTTAAGTAAACTAAGCTATGCAGAAAACGCCTAAGTAATTTGTTTCATTTAAAATAATTCAGATGATACTTAACTTTCCATTTTAAAAAAGGCAATCTTAAACTCCAAACTCAACTTTCGTAGCAACGCCCATAGCAACCAATTTTGATTACTTGAAAGCCTGTAAAATTATGTTTAAAAACCTATGGTTGGTTTGCTTTAAAGTCATTAAATTGTTTTACAGAAATATAAACTTCATGCAAAAAGTCACCAATTAAATACATGTGTAACATGGCATTTAAATTGTTTAAAAGTTGAAAAGCTGCAAGTGAAATAATATCTGTTTATGTTTTTAATCATCGTTTATTTGATTTAGTTACATGGTTTTTTATCTTTTTTTTTTTAGCTTTGTTATAGTTAACTTAATTGGTTTTTTATTTGTTATTATTTTCTTTTTTTATTCAAGTTATTTAACTATAATGTTCATTATTAAAGAACAACAACAATGAAAAAAAAATTAGGCTTAGTTACACTTATTTGTTATTATTGTTTTTTTTATTCTTTATAGTTGTAATAATAATTAATATTAAAAAAAGAGTCAAGCTATGTTAGAAAGAAAGTCTGGCCACTCAAAAGCATTTTCTAAACGGACATTTAAAGGTAACCAACACACATGTGTGTACACACAAAAAAAAAACACAAGAAGAACCAGTTGAGATTCCTCCTTCTAACTTACCTATTTCTTCAAATAAATCTGTCATATTTATCATCAGGTACAACATTACCTTTTATAATCACTAATGAAACCAGATCAATGAAGTTTGCATCATCTTCATTCACCAATGACACCAGTTTGTTTACTTGTGTAAATTCTTCAAACACAACTGTATATTATCGATTTTTATACTTTTTTCTATTGACATTTTTGTGGAAATTATTAATTTAGTTGTAACATGCCCTGAATGTGACAAAAAGACTATGAGTCAAACATTTAACGTCTTGAGAAAGTAAGGCTTGTCTATACCATTATTGTTACAAGTTGTTATAAGTTATATTGTTATAAGTTCAAGTTGTTGTTAGTGTACAACCTTTCATTCAAGTAAAGAATGTAAATGCAAAAGCAGTCGTGGTAGACCTGTTTGAGGTTTATGTTCGTTTTGTTTTTGATATGAGAGAAATTGGAAAAAGTTATACCAGTTAGAAAAACTCTGTGGATGAAAAAAGTAATTAGAACAGTGCTTTTCCATTGCTCTTAAGCAAAATATATTATTAGAATATAGAAGGCATCAAATGTGCCCACGTACTCTTGATAGTTGGTGTAAATATCAGGCTGACAAAATAAATGGCATAGCAACATACAAACATAAGGGAGGAATTACCAATTGTTGTCCTTGAAGAAAAAAAGCCTGTTTTTTTTAAGTTTAAGTGATGACAATTTATAAAAAAATATCTTTATGGCAAAACTCAAAATAAGTAATAAATAAATGAGTCACTAAATGGAATGATTTGGAAACGATTTCAAAAAGATATCTACGTTTTTTGAAAATTTGAAAGAAATTTAGTGATAGAAATTTAGTATATTATTACTTAAATTGCATTTATCTCAAAATTGAATTTTTTGAACGGTGCGTCATATAACTTTTGATTTATTTGAGCTTTACTCTTGAAATTTTATATGGTGGTTATTTTTTATAAGATACAGGTTTAGAACCAACATTTTTTGAAAAAATATTTTTCGGTCCAGAGTTACCCAAGCCCAAAGTTTTATTTTTAAGCTTTTTTATAAGCAAGGTATTTGAATTTTAATTACCTTAGATCTAGTTATGTAATCAGGCTAATTCTGCTCCCATACCTATAAAATTGTACTATAAACAAACTGTAAAAATTTTGTTATCATTCTACAGGTGGTTTTTTCTGAATTTAACGCACCGCAAAGTGACCATTTTGAGACCTTTGGACCCAAAAAGGGTTTTCTGTAATTTTTTTTCTTTTTTTTTTAAAAAAAGACATAGTTACCTGTTTATAATTGTTGTACCAAAATATCAAATTTAAATAGTAAGAATTAAAGAATTTGGATTTTTCACCCAAATACCACCTTAAGCTATGCAATTGAGTTCTGGAACTCATTGGAGCAAAGGAAAATATTCAAAGATATTCTTGAAGTAAATATTGCTAGATAAAAACTTATTTCTTGTCAAAAATATAATTTTATAATAATTTACATTATAATATTATACACAGCGGGTGATTAAAATAAATATATTATTATCATTAAATGTGATATGAAACAGGGATTAATAAAGATTAGACATCAAAATCGCAAAATAATATTAGAGAAAATGTTTTAACGTTTTATGTTTTACGTAATTGCTTTAAAAACGTAAACAAAAATTTACTCGAAAAACTATAAAAAGTTGCTAAACACGTTTGTAAAGATATTCAACAACATAGCTAAAGGTACAGAAAATAGGTTTTTAATTTTTATGTAAAAAAGGTTAAAATTTCAATTACTTATGTTAATGATCAAAAATGTTATATTTTACATCTATAAATAGTAAAACTAAATATATAAATGCAATAAAAAATAATTCTTTTTGAATAACCAAAACAAACCAAACCAGTAATGTAATAATATAATAAAATAGACATTGATCAACGCTCTAAAATTGTAGCTAACATGTAACATGTAGCTATGTTATAGAATCTTAATTAGCCTAAGGCAGGTTTTCAGTAAAAATCGCAAAAAACAGAAAAGTTATCCCTTATCAACAGCAATATTTTAACTAAATTTTTTTACGAACCGTTTTATGTAAATATTTACTTAACAAGGAAAGATTGATCTTTTATATATTTCTTAATTAAAGGTGAAAGCGTTTATTTAAAAAAATACTTTTATTTTAATGTTAATGAATTTTTATGCGGAATATACTTTTATACTTTTTATACGGAAATACTTTTTTTTGTTTTTTGTTTTGTTATTTAGATGCCCCAAGAAGACCTAACGGTCTTGTCACAGAGCACCGCGGAAGTGCATTTAACCAGGAAGTTCACGCCTCCTTTCTTTTGATAAACTCAAGTCATAAGTCATAAAGTCAACAAGCCATAAAGTCAAGCTCGTTATATTGCTCTATATTGAGTGAATCAGCCGTGGTGAATTTATATTATAGATACAAAACAATATTTTCTTACTTGGTTATTTGATGAAATATACTATATCTTTTATTACACAATTACACTAATGTCTGTGATTGCAAAATTGTTTGGCACACTTTTACCAAATACTGTTAATTCAAAACCTCATGTTTTTGCAAGTTTGTTCATATTTATAAATTTAAAACTTGTATACGCGTCGAAAACAGGGCTATCCCAAAGGGGGAGTGTCGGAGAGTTCCCGTCTTCAAAGCTGTCGTATAAGCATTTTAGTTGGCACATTGAGCAAGTTTTGAATTATAGTTGTCAAATTGCAAATATTGAGGACTTTTTTTTTGTTTTGTTTTTAGTTTTTGGTGTTTCTAATTGGCAAAAAAATAATACCCCCCCCCCCCCCCCCCAATGTAAGATTTCGGCTTTACAATTCAGGGAATAACGTCAGAAAGTCAGATTTTGATACTAAGTTATAGTTTTATAACATGTATTTACATAAAATTATTTCACAAACAGATATAATTTCAAAAGCCGAAATGAAAAAAAAAACATTTATTTTAAAATACATTTTTTAAAAATAAATGGTTTTTTTTAAATAACAAAACATATTGACAGGAACGGGATTCGAACCCGCGCCACCGAAGTGACTGGTGCCTAAAACCAGCGCCTTAGACCACTCGGCCATCCTGCCATACAATCATTGAAAAATAGTGTTAATTTATATTTTTAAATTTTATAATAAACTTTGTAAATATATATTTAAGGTTGTTGTTGTATTTATTCTTGAAAATTATTTGTTTAAGAACGCGGCAGGATAGACGCGCTCTTAAATTATTTTTAAGAATTTTATTCTTTTTCACATATATCTTTTATATACACAATGACAAATACAAAATATTCTGTTCTAAACAATCGTTGTTCACCATAGGGTCATCCATAAATTACGTCACGCTATTAGGAGGAAAGGGGGTTTTTGATGTTTTTTTTTTTTTTTTAATCTTTACAAGTTCGTAATATATAATATAATCGTTTACAGAGTATCGTCACAAAAAAAAATTACAAAGTTACGTTATACAAAGAATGTATAAAACATTGTCCACGGCTGTTTCAAACCGAGCTTAACGGCTTCTTGTTAATTTTTGAAAATATTGACTAAAGGGGTGTTACTAAAACTTTTATAACTTTTGAAATATAAGAGGTAATTTTGTTTTGTAAAAACAATTAAGACATCAATAAAATGTTTTACCTTATGACATTTAATGCATTAGTAGAAAAACTTCTTTTAGTTTAGAATAAATATGACATATATTGAATTTGGCTTAATCTTTGTAATTTGATGTTACTTTTTATCAAAAAAAAATTAGAAAAATATATTTCTAATAGTTATTATCAAATACACTAATTGTTTGACAATAATGAAAACAAAAAAACCTTACTTAATTATTTAAGGTTAACTAAAACAGCCTTAATCGAATTGTGAAAGCAAACCACATTTTTCGCAAAATTATGAAAAACGTTGTTATAAGGGGGGATTAGTTGTTAAATGAGTACTTTTTTTAATATAGAAGTTCTTGATTTAGAAAATTATTTTGGAACGCTGATAAAATCATTACATTACAAAATAAAGTTCTAATAATATGGTGTTAGGTAGTTAATAAATAAAAACTCATCAATTCTAATAAAATAATTCATGACCAAAATTGAGTTAAAGGTTTTGAATTAACCTAGCTTTTGGTAGTAGAATTATTTTATGGTACTTATATCAATAATCTCTTCTCACAAAAAATAAAGTGTTTAAATATACACAAATAGCTGATTTAAATCTTTTGATAATTCGTTTTTATTTTCATTAAAAACTGTTTTATAATTAGTTGGTCCATTGATAAGTTCTTCAAGCAGTAAACTATCTTTGAACACCCAGATGATACTAGACTCATACATAATTCATTTAAAACCAGAAGAACATTTGGTCAACTTGGCAATTGTGATAATAAAGTTTACAACTTCTTAATTTATCAAGCTAAATTTTTACACCAACTTGATAAATGAGACTTATATTCCATTCTTTAACCAGAGAGGAGGTATGTAGAGCAGAGGTCCTGCGAAGGTAGAACTAACTTTTGATGATAAAAATTGAACGGAGATCTAATATATATAAAAAATGTTACATATTACATAACAAAGGATAAAACGTTTTTTGAATTAACTACATAAACATACAAAATCATATCCAACAAACATACCAGTTGCTCTGATCACAAATTAAAATAGTTAGCTATACATTTGATGCTAGACTTTTATTCCATTCTTTAACCTGAGCAAAGGCATTGCATAGATATAATAAACTTTTGAAAATAGGAACAGAATGGGCATCTACCTAATATATAAAATCATTGTAATAAAAAATTATTATTATTTTGAACAAACATTACAGGCATTAAAACAGAATAGAATTCTCTTATTTGTAAATTAAGGATCTTATATAATTTATCTTAGATGTAAAAAGTTTAATTTTTTTTTTAACTTTTCAAACATTTAAACTAAATTTGATGACCACAAACAAAACAAAGACCTTGTCTATAAAATGAATTTTCGCCACGTTCTAAACACACAACACACTTTCTCACCTTAGAGGCTTGAAGCTTCCTATCAGCTTTGCTGTGCAATTCAAAGCGTTTTAAAACAAGATGCAGCTTTTGCTCCTGATTTCTAACTGAATGCAACTGCCTTAATTCCTTATTTACGCTATTATGCAAACACTCTCCCTCCTCTTCACTCAGCAACCCAATAGTTTTATGCAATTTTACAAATAGTGGCACATTGAAAATGAGTTCATGCATTTTTCGCGTGATACTTTCTTTTGGAAAGCAAGCATGAAACTCAATAGCAAATAAATTTATATATTGATGAAGCTCAGAAATTTCGGCATCAGAAAGAAATTTTCGCTTAAAAAGAATAGGTTGCAAGTTATTAAAAACACTAAACACACGTACAAATCTATTTTTAATTGCTTCATCATCAATAACACTACAAAGTTTATAGTGGTTTCTTAATTGAATTATGAAACTTACCTAGAGCTCTTAGGTTTCCACCTTGTCTATCTTCACACAAGTTCTCATTGTAAGCACTTTCCAGAGATTGTATTGTCCTCCTTAAGATGTTACAATTAGCAGGTATGTGAGGCATAGAAGCATGGTTTCTTAGAGAATTCAACTTAACTAGGTCTGTAGAACTAGGAAAGCTAGCAGCTGAACCCTGGTGTCCCAGAACATCATCGATAAAATGAAAATCTCCACCCAAGAACAACCTGACTATTTTGCCTTTTAGCTTAAAATCTGACGACTGAATTCTTTTAATGTCGTTGGCATAATGCCCGAGAACTAAGGCAATATTCTCACGACAGTCTGAACCCTGATACATACAAAATAAATGAACATCATATACAGACCCTGATGATTTAGAATTGACAACTTCAAAATGGAATTTCATATACTTCCCACCCTTATCCCCAGCAAAAAGGAGCCATACCTCTTCGCAAAAACCGACATCAGAATTGAAGTGGTCACGAACGTGCAGACTATTGAAAACCTCTTCAATATAATGTCTTATGACATGTCATAAGACATATATAGTTTGGAAGCAAACAATACCGCTTTGTTTATGTTTTTGTTCCAGAATTTACTCGTTCTCATTCTTCCGAAGGTGAACAGTAAACAAAAACATCTCAAAGCGAAAGTATCGATCTCCTTTTTTTCTTGTTACTTTTACATTAAATTTAAACAACTGTAATTTATTTTAGTGAATTGATTACAATTTTCTTTATTATTATTTGTTCTTGCATTTTGGCATTGTCAAAAAAAAAAGATTTATTCAAAATTATGCAAAATTACATTGATCCATGTCAATAAGACCTTATCTAATATTACTAAAAAAGTTCAAAAGTCTATGATATAAATTTTCTTCATCCTAAAAATTGACTTTGAAATAATTATGAAAATTAAAAAACGAAAAAATATATATATAAATACATAAATATATACATACATATATATATATATATATATATATATATATATATATATATATATATATATATATATATATATATAATATATATATATATATATATATATATTGCTACATCGACTATCTTATAGCCTGACTTGCAACAGAGTGCTGCTACATCGACTGACAAATAGCCTGACTCGCAAGGGAGTGCTGCTACATCGACTGACAAATAGCCTGGCTCGCAAGGGAGTGCTGCTACATTGACTGAGGGTTTGGTTTGGGCAGGCAGTCTATCATTTAAAAAAAAAAAAAATTTATGAAGTTTTTCAACATTTTCTGGTCAGGCTTATTAATGCGCTCTTTAAAACAACAGTTTATGGGAAAAACTTTGTGACTACCATGCAAGACTATATATATAAATATAAATATAAATATAAATATATATATATATATATATATATATATATATATATATATATATATATATATATATATATATATATATATATATATATATATATATATATATATATATATATATATATATATATATATATATATATATATAGGGGAAAGCGGGGCAACATGGTGAACGTTTTGAAAGCCCCAAGTTATTGCAAAACTATGAGTTGTGAAACCGTAATACTTTCTCAGTATGTTTATGTTATTAAAATAATTCATTGTCAGCATGAATTTTCAGTTTGCAAATATAACATTTTGGAATAAATATTAAAATAAAAAGTTCATAAATTTGTCAACTGGTCACGTGACTGGGGCAAGATGACTTACAATGCAATTTTTACCTCTAATTTTATAAAATTTTAAAAACTACCACTAACTCTAACTAAAGTAACAAAAAATAAACACAAATCGCAAAAAACTATTTATATACTTGAAGAACACTATTCATTATGAGAAAGTTAGGAATTTTTTTTTCACCGAAAGTGAGGAATTTTTTTTTAAGCGCAAAAAGTAAACTTATGCGTATAAAATTGCGTTAATAATATTTCAAAAAACCAATTGGTGTTTTAAAATACAAGATGCAAATACAGTTTTGTTTTCACCCAATTTCAAGATTTTTTGTTGAGTTGTTATATGAAAACCCATCTTGCCCCATTCGCCATGTTGCCCCGCTTTCCCCTATATATATATATATATATATATATATATATATATATATATATATATATATATATATATATATATATATATATATATATATATATATATATATATATATATATATATATATATATATATATATATATATATATATATATATATATATATGTATATATATATATATATATATATATATATATTGTATATATATATATATATATATATATATATATATATATATATATATATATATATATATATATATATATATATTGTATATATATATATATATATATATATAGGTACGCGATAATCGCGATTTACGGAACCGAATTTTGTGCTAAAATTTTGATCCACGCTTTTCGTAGTCTCTTCAAAGTTAGCGTGGTTGAGGAAGGCTGTGTGGAATAACTTTTTAGTATTTGTTATCAACATAGTATATTTTTAGAAAGTAGAATAATTGAGCTTCTTCTTGTACTTGGTTTTAATTATACTCACTTGCTTTATTAATGAGTTTATTGATGTCAAAACTTTGTCATACTTCGGTGATAAAGTTAATGTCCAATATATGCTGCAATATTTTTCTTTCCTATTTTTTTTTTTAATTTTTTCATTTATCTATGCACCTGCCAAATTTCATCAAAAAAATTTATGTAGCAGGCACTCTATTTATTGTCACACCTTTGGTACTTAATTTACATTTTCCTTAATACTAGCGTGGGAGACAGAGGGGTCTATTGAATAATTTTTTGTTTATTATTTTGATTTAGATAAACAGCAATATTTCTATTAATATTAGTAATAAGAATGACAAATATGAGTAATATGAATGCTATGAATGCTTATTACATATATTAGTAATATAATGCTATGATTGCTTTTTTTTAATATTAAATATTAATAACATTAACTTTAAGTTAATAACTTACACAAGTTAAGTGAGTTATTAAGCCTTAATAGCTTACATATTACTAAGTAAAATGTGATTTTTTTGATAAACTATGATTTTTTTGGCTTTTTTTTTATTTTATTAAACTTTAAATTTAGTGTTTAACAACTTTATTTAATAATTAACACTATTAATATTTTATGTTTATATTATAAATTTATCTTTATATTAATAGTATTAAATGTTTCATTAATTTATTGATAATACATTAATGGAACAAACCTTAATATGTTTATAAGGTTTGTTCCACTTCTTATACCATTTATTTTTAGTAATTAAAATTTTTTAATGATTAAATTGGTTTGAAAAACTTCATTTCAGTCAATCGTCTGCTTTAAAAGGTAAATTATGTTATTTAATTAACTAAATACAAAAAAAAAAGTTTTTTAAATTAAGTTATACTTGTAATAATGTTTGTAAATTTTTTTGTGGTTAATCTTAAATACAAGTTGAAAATTAAATTATAATTATTCTGATTAGAATATCAAAATTTTTTGGTTATTGATGTTTGTTTGATTTTAGTTTATATATATATATATATATATATATATATATATATATATATATATATATATATATATATATATATATATATATATATATTTATATACACACACACATATATATATATATATATATATATATATATATATATATATATATATATATATATATATATATATATATATATATATATATATATATATAAATGTATATATATATATATATATATATATTTATATACATATATATATATATATATATATATATATATATATATATATATTTATATACATATATATATATATATATATATATATTTATATACATATATATATATATATATATATATATATATATATATATATTTATATATATATATATATATATATATATATATATATATATATATATATATATATATATATATATATATATATATATATATATATATATATATATATATATATATATATATATATATATATATATATATATATATATATATATATATATATATATAGGTGTTATGGCCCCAAAAAAGAAAGCATTGATATTTGGAGGAGAAATCAACACTTTTTTAAATGCAAAATATAAATTGTTTAATGATACCAACATTAAGTGTAGAAATGGTCATGTACTTTTTGTTTTCATAAAAAGTGGTGAGATATATACGAAAACTGTAAAAGAAGTCAATGAGCATTTTAACTTCAACACTTCCACATATCATGTCCAAAGTGTAGTGAATGTAGCAAAAAAATGGAAACATAACTTTAAAAGGGACTGCACACATTTTGTCAATTTTTGCAACAAGCTGTTTACATGCTACCCAACAATCTCAACAATGACACAACCATCCCAGTCTAGTCCTAGTAATTCCCATTTAGTTGCCTTGTCTTATGAACATGACAGTCTTTCATCTGAGACACACAATGAGTTTTTACCTACAGCCAGTTGTAGTAATCATGTACAAGATATTTTCACTTGTAGACAAGAAATTCCACCGAGAGAAAATCTATTGAAGATTCAGTTATCTAATTTGGCAAATCAGTTAGCTACCTCTTCCAAGAAATATAGAACAAATATAGCTATAGTTAAGTCTAAATTAAATAGTATGCCATATAAACTAAAACTTTTAAGACAAAGTGTTAAAAGAAAAGAAGATATTATAAAGGATTTAAGAAGGGAGTTAAGAGAATTAAAAACTAAAATGAAAATTTCTTATTATACTCGACAAATTCGAAATTATACAGCTACAATAAAGAAATTAAAATATAATGAAAAACAAAAGTTGAAGCAAATAAAGGTAAAGCATAACACAGATAATAGGGCAAATAAAAAAATGATTGCTGGTTTGGAAAACAACTTGCTTCAAAAAGAGGAGAACGCAACTACACTTTTGAACATGAATGAAGAAGCAAAGACATATTCATTACATATGAGAATGATTATTTATAATATGTTAATATGTAATGTCCCAACAGGTAACATTCCTTTTCTGATTCAGAAAATTGGACAATGTATGGGTTTTATTTTTTCTGATATTCCACACCGCAATTCCATTGAACAAATGGCTCGTGAACTTGGCAGTATTTCAAGCTTGCAGGCAGCTGAATGGGCAATCAACAATAGTCAACTTACTCTTGGGTTTGATGCTACAACACAAGAAGGTGTTCATATTAACAGTATTCACTTGACGTCAAAAGATAAATGCCTAGTTATTGCTCTGGACCAACTACCTGGTGGAACAGCTGATGATTATGAAAACCATATATGTAATGCCATTGATCATATGGCTTTTATTTATTCTCATTTTCACTCTTGCAGCTATAACGAATCTCGTAGTTCAATTATTGCTAATATTTCAAACACAATGTCTGACCGAGTTGCTGTTAATCATCTTACTATAAGCAAAGTATGTGCAACCTGGGGTAAAAGTCTAAATGAGTTGAACTGCCATTTGCATCCTCTTGATACAATTGCCACATCATGTCGTTCAGCATTAAAGTCTCTAGAGAATGAGAAATGCAAATTGTTTGGAAATGACTGCATGGCAACCTTGATTATTTTAGCTATAAACAAAATGAGATTTAAAGATGTAAAAGGCGATCCACAAGGTTTTATAAATTTTTTAGATAATAATGATTTACCACGAGGTATCATTCCTAGGTATCGTGGCAACAGGCTTCACATTCTTTTCCATACTTGTTTTATTTTAATAAAGCATCACAGTAAATTTAAACAATATCTTACAGTTGGAACTGTAAAGTGTAAAAGTTTACAAGCAACTCTTCGAACAGTATTTTGTAGTGCCACCGCAATCAAACAATTGTGTGTGCTTGCTGTGTTTGGAAAACTTCTTACTGGGCCCTGGATGAAAAAATTTTATGTTATATCAGAGCAAGCAACTTTTGATCATGTTGCTGGTATCCAGGTTGTGAAAAATGTTATACAAACAGTTCAAACTTGCAAATCCAATCCAGCCAGTTTGTTTTGCAGAAAGACAGATTTTTTTGACCAGCCGCTAGAGCCAAACATTTTAGAATCAGTAACAAGTTTATGCTCTGTTGATGAAGAGCTTCTTAAAATGACTTTGGCCTGTCTTATTGCAGTGGAAGATGTTTTAAATAGACAATATAGTAGGTATTTTTCACTTACTGTGACAGAGACATTTAAAGAGGAAACAGCTAGTGCAAGGCTTCACAATATAGATAGTGAGGAATTAATGGGTATGTTTAGTGATGCAAAAGTACGAGCTCCTAATGCAACAATTTGCTATATCTCTTGCAAACTACGATCAAAAAAGAATAGGACTGTCGACTATCTAGACACTCTAGATTTAAGTTTAAGAGAAAAGATTGTTAAATGGTCAATTAATGTAGCACGTAAAAACAGATTTACAAATCGACTGCATCTGTGCAAAGTAAGAGATGAGATTTGCCAAAGGCAAAAAATCAAGCGCCAAAAAATGGATGAAAAAGAAAAAAGAAAGTTAGAGCGCGAGCTATCCAAATTGAATTTTGAAGAAATTGTTAATTCATATAAGCACTTGTCCAATGACCAACTATTTGATTTAGAAGATATCATGTCAGATAGAATTGTTGGGAAGAAACTAGAACATGAATGGTACGATCCAAAAACATGCAAAAGTGTTTTATATAACGGCAGAGTAGAAAAAGTTAATAAAAGAAAAAATGACTTCATTTACACCATTTCTTACTGGAAAGATGATGAAACTGATATTGAAGCTGTTGACTATTGCATGAAAAAGATCCAGCTCGCTGCTGATGTTGTTTCCGGTGAGTTACAATTTAATTAATTTATTAACACTGCAAGTGTTGTGACTTGCTAAAAAAAAAGTACTGCAAGTGTTGTGACTTGCTAAAAAAAAGTAATGCAAGTGTTGTGACTTGCTAATAAAAGTACTGCAAGTGTTGTGACTTGTTAAAAAAGTACTGCAAGTGTTGTGACTTGCTAAAAAAAGTACTGCAAGTGTTGTGACTTGCTAAAAAAAAGTACTGCAAGTGTTGTGACTTGCTAAAAAAAGTACTGCAAGTGTTGTGACTTGCTAAAAAAAAGTAATGCAAGTGTTGTGACTTGCTAATAAAAGTACTGCAAGTGTTGTGACTTGCTAAAAAAAGTACTGCAAGTGTTGTGACTTGCTAAAAAAAAGTACTGCAAGTGTTGTGACTTGCTAAAAAAAGTACTGCAAGTGTTGTGACTTGCTAAAAAAAGTACTGCAAGTGTTGTGACTTGCTAAAAAAAGTAATGCAAGTGTTGTGACTTGCTAAAAAAAAGTACTGCAAGTGTTGTGACTTGCTAAAAAAAGTACTGCAAGTGTTGTGGCTTGCTAAAAAAAGTACTGCAAGTGTTGTGACTTGCTAAAAAAAGTAATGCAAGTGTTGTGACTTGCTAAAAAAAAGTACTGCAAGTGTTGTGACTTGCTAAAAAAAGTACTGCAAGTGTTGTGACTTGCTAAAAAAAAGTACTGCAAGTGTTGTGACTTGCTATGCATTTTTGATAGACGGCTCTGGCTTACCTTCACGTGGTGTCTATTGTTAAAAATGATTATAATATAATTTCATTAGTGAAATTTATCATTGTAATCATTCACTAAAAGCCAAGACAAAACTTTATGAAATATCAGAAGAATCATTAAAATAATCAAACATTATTTAGTGTTAATAACATTTTGTTTGTTTTTTAATTTGAGACAGACAAACTTTTAGTTAACCAAACTACTATCAAGCACTATATGAAAGATTTGAAGATGGATGCAACACTAATGTAACTTTTAAAGAGTAAGATATATTTTTTACTTCTTTGTTATTGTACTTTAAATAACCAATCAGATATTTCTTAATTAAAATTTTGTTTTCCGGTATTAATTTATAGAACCTTTTTTATATAGACAAAAACTTTTTTTGGGATTTAAATAAACATGTTTATTTTTTTTTAGGTCGAGGGGGGGTATACGCCCCCTCCACCCATACATCGATGTAAACACCACTTGTATACAAAAATTCTTGTAGAACATAATTTTATATTGCATACTAATTGAAATCATTTTCGTAAAGATAAAAATATTTATGAAAACAAATCATATTTGATGCTAGGGTGTATCAAACCATCACACCCACCTCTATCATTTAAATACGCCTCTTATATACTTTAATGGTTAAATAAATTTATATCAACTTTTTAGTATATTTAAACTGCTAATGTCTTGAAAAAGATCTTTTTTCTGAAAAAAATGTTCAGTTTCATACGGGTAAGGTGGTGGTTTGATGCCCCCCTCTGTCTATCCGATACGCCCAATGGTAAGAGTTTAATAAAAATAAGTAGTCCACTCTTACACCTATCTTTTGACACCAAGATATTTTTATTTTGATAAGAATTGACAAAGTTATGACAATTTAAGTAAAGAAAAACATTATTTTGACCACAGTTTCTTCAACAATTCCATATATCGAAAAATCGGTACTAAACCGTCATAACTTTTGAACCAATTGTTCGATTTTGATAATTTTTTCATCTTTAAAATACTGTATTGATCCTCTTTCCAATGATATATAACAGTAAGATATTTAAATAATTTGAAATTTTTACTCACGTACCTAATATATACATATATATATATATATATATATATATATATATATATATATATATATATATATATATATATATATATATATATATATATATATATATATATATATATGTATATATATATATATATATATATATATATATATATGTATATATATATATATATATATATATATATATATATATATGTATATATATATATTGATGACATTATGCACAGAAGTGTTAAGTGTTAAACTAAAAATGCAAATGTGGCAAGGACACTTTAAGCATTTGTGCATACAATTTTTTTTTTCATTTTATACTTGACATGTAATGTCAATTAGTAGGCTCATAACAATTTATCATACACTGACCATATTCGGACAGAATAATCTTTGAATAATACAACAGTTTTTGTGTACTTAGCTCAATTTGACCAAATGTTGTACTTAACACTTCTGTGCATAATGCCATCGATATATATCTATCTAGTTGTGTCAATGAATTTAAAAAATGTTTAAATGATTTTTGACCCTTGATAATCTAGAAATAGAGAAATATTTATATGTTTACACAAGAATTTCCAATAAAATATATCAATTAGGTTTTTAATTTTGTTAGACTTGACTATATAGAAAAGCAATTAAAGAAATAAATTTCCTAGATACAATGTTAATCTACAAAAATATTAAGCAAAATATTTGTAATATTAATTTATAAATGCTAAATATTTTGTCATTTTCAGAGTTTTTTAAACAAACAAAAATTTTTTTTACAAAGATTTGAAAAAACCATTTTTAAAATATATTTTAATTTAATATTTTTAATTGGCAATTTAATAAAAATCTCACTCAAAGCATATCCAGTCTAAAATGATTCTGATATCATAAACAGTAAAGTAATTTCAGAATTTTGAAGCTAGTGAAATAAAGCTAACACTTAATATTCATAATAGTTAAATGTTTAAAAACATCAAAAATAAATACATATGCTTATATGACCAATATTACACTAACTTGGAAAATTTACTCACCGTTAATAAAAATTACTTCTTATTAGTCATGAATAGTAAAATCCAATCATTGAAAAAATATTTTCTTTCCCAGTATGTCAAAGAGCAAAATTTTTCTAACAAATTTCAAGTTTTTGTGTCAAAGAACAAAAAATCAATCAACATTAGTATTGATTTTTGATCTATTGACACAACACAATAAACCATTTTACAAACATCTGGAAAAAAAAAAGGAAGATAATTAAATAACTTATTATATAATATCATATCATATATAAATATTCTAAAAAATAATTTCATGAATATTTATAAATAGTAATTCTACTAATATACTACTAGCTATATATATATATATATATATACATATATATATATATATATATATATATATATATATATATATATATATATATATATATATATATATATATATATATATTCATATATATATATATATATATATATATATATATATATATATATATATATATATATATATATATATATATATATATATATATATATATATATATATATATATATATATATATATATATATATATATATATATATATATATATATATATATATATATATATATAATATATATATATATATATATATATATATATATATATATATATATTATATAGATGAATTTCAATGTTTACATTTCCGTCGCATGCGCACTAGGTGGCAGGAATTTAAAAATCGATTTGCAAACATTGAGAACGTTTATTAAACAAACATTGATGTAATTAATCTGCTTGCTAACTTAATTAGATTAAAGTTTTTTTTTAATTCTTAAAATGTAATGCCTGACAGTTGTTGTGCTATAGGGTGTATGAATAAAAGGATAAAAGGCGATAAAAACTTGAGTTTTTACCGCATTCCTTTTGGAAATACAGAAACATCAAAAAACAGAAGAGTTTTAAGCCTTAAAACGTAAAAACTGGCCAATAAGTATGATTGATAACGCAAGATTATGGTAGTAAATATTTTATTTCAGGTATTTAATTTTTTTTTTCTTTTGATAACTAGAAGTTTTTATAATATTATTATTATCTTTGTTTTTATTTAATTTAACACAAGTTCATTATTTTAATAAAATAAAAAAGGTTTTAATTTTTTTTCTTCTCTATTTTTAGGCAAAAAATCAGACAATCCTAATAGTCCTGACTATGTTCCATCTGTTTTTTTATACAGACAGCAATCTTTTTCAAAAAAACATCAAAGTATCGAAAGATTTGAAAGAAGTTGTAAAAGAACAAAAAAAAATACTGAAGATAATTTATCTCAAACAAAAGCTGAAAATGAACAGATGTCAGTTAATATGGATGCAGTAACATCAGTCGACCCTTTCAAGTTAAATCAACGTAAATAAGTTTTAATTTAATTTTAAGATTTTACTTTCGTTCTTTGATAAAATAAATGGTTACATAATTATGTTTTTAGAATCTCAGACTGATGATGTTAATTTTGTTGCTGAGCTACATTCTAAAGTCAAAACTTTGAGTAAAAATAATGTTGAATTAAAGATTACAATAAACAAAGCTATAACATCATCTGTTTCTCAATATATTTCGTTTGAAAAACTAAAAGATGATAATTCACTTTTATCTTTTTATACTGGTTTGCCAAATGCAAATTTATTTTTGTGGTATTTATCATTGTTTAATGATTGTGTAAAACTAATGAAAAATATACCAATGGAAGACCATTTATTGCTAATATTAATGAAAATCAAACTTGGATTTTTAAATAAAGACTTGAGCTTTAGATTTGGTTTTTCTGAGCCAACAGTCACTAGAATATATAGATCTTGGCTTCCAATTATTGCTGAAAATGTTAAGTTTTTAATTGTTTGGCCAGAAAAGCATGTTTTGCGAAGAAATTTGCCAACAAGTTTTCGCAAAAAGTTCTATAATTGTGTTGCAATAATTGATTGCATGGAAATACTCATTGAAAGACCTTTTAGTCTTCATGCTCGAGCTCAAACTTGGTCAAATTATAAAAACAACAACAAAATTAAATATCTCATTGGTATAACTCCATCAGGTGCTGTAAGTTTTTTATCCCCTGGATGGGGTGGTAGAGTTTCAGATAAAGAAATTACAATTAAATCTGGATTTTTAGAAAAAATAACCCATGGAGATTGTGTACTTGCTGATAGAGGATTTACACTTGTTGAAGAATTTGCTACAAAAGGTGGGATTTTAAAATTACCAAAGTTTACCAAAGGAAGAAAGCAGATGTCTTCTGCTGAAGTTGATGAATCACGTCAAATTGCACATGTAAGAATCCATGTTGAAAGGGTAATTGGACGGTTAAGAAAATTTCGAATTCTTCAGAACATTATCCCATTAGCTCAAGTTGATTTACTTGATGATGTTATGGTAACAATAACTTCATTAGTAAATATTAACAGTAGTGTTGTTCCTCCAAGCTCATATGAGTGAAAAACCTTTTTATTTTTACTTTATTTTGTATTATCTTACATTTGGATTGTCTCAAGTACTCTCGAGTCCTTAATACAAGGGGAAGGGGGTGGTTAGTCAAGATCTAATAAAAGTAGGGGGTGAGAATTTAAACTAAAAGTTTTATTATTTATTAGTTACTAGTATATATTTTGTAAATTATAAGGCCGATTTTCACTGAATTATTTTTTTAGTTTCGATAGTTTTAGAAACTTTTTGCTGATAACAAGTGAAAATTAATAAACAGAGTGGTCTTAATAAGCTTAAGGTAGGTGGGAAAGTTTTCAAAAATTTAATAGAAATCCCCCCTACCCTTCTAATAAAGACTCGAGAGTAGTAAATTTTATATTACTAAATAATAAGAATTGTTAACAGTTTATTGATTTTTTATTTCTGAAAAAAGTGCCAAAATGTTGTTGACAAAGTAAGATATTTAATAAATATAATATATCCTTTAGTTTATTTATATGCATTCCTTGCAGAACCATTTACCTTTAGGGGCATTTTTTATTTCAATACAACTGTAATGAAACCATCCTATTTTGCAGTTTTTTCCGTCGCATCCAATCATTGGTGTAAAACTTGGACGTTTGCAAATGCAGTATGTTTGATCGCTCAAAAGGTTGTTAGGATCATTTTTTCTAGACACTATTTCAGGTAGTAAAAATTTAAAAAATATTGTTGTCAACTTTGTTTCCAGTTTTTCACAAAAGACCCTATCAATCGGAACATTAATTAACATTGTATCATTTTCATTTTTTCCTTCGGTCCAAATGTAAAAATGGCAGTATGTAGTATTAGTAATATACATTTCTTGCTGCACTTGAAAGTAATACTGGTGTGTTTTCTTTACCGTATTGTCAAAATTTACAGGAAAATCCGTATCTGTTTTCCAATTTTCTAACCCATTTCTATACTTATATGGGCACTTAATTTCCACTACACCGGAACCATGACAATCACAACACACCATACTATCAGGTGAAGCACCAAGACATGGATTTTTGTAAAGAACATGCAATCCAGTTTCTGTAACAACTATATTTGTATGTGTTTTCGCGACAAATTGCTTGTAAGAATTTATTGCTACAGTCTCCATTTTCTTACCATAACTCGTAGGTTTTGTAATGAATTTGTAATTTTGAGCAGCCGTGGCGCAGTGGTTAGAGTACTGGCTCAGAACCCAGAGGTCCGAGGTTCGACGCCAGCTCCAGCCCAAAAAGCGACATTGGTACGGAATGAGGCGTGAACTTCCTATTAAATGCTCTCCCGCGGTGCTCTATGATAAGACCGTAAGGACTTCTGGGAGCACCTAAATACATACAAAAAAAAAAAAAAAAAGTTCTGCGTTGTATTGCATCACTGTGTTTATAAACGACTTAGGGTATTTATCAACTTTTATGTTGTACGCAGTTTTTGATAACGATGCTGTTATTCTACCTGCCCTGTGCAACTTCCAGATTCTACTAGCGCTTTGAATTTTTGTAACTTTAAGTAAATTGCTGTACATGTTAACACTTTGAGTGATTTTTTACTCCTCGTATGATTCTGCGCAATATTTTGTTAAGGTGGAATCATCTAAATTAATTGATGCAGACAAATATAGTGAAGTAAGTGGTTCCGGCAAATTATATTCATTGTAACTGTCATCCTCCTCCGCAGTATCTGTATCACTACAATGTTCTTTGCTTTCATTTTTAATGTCAACAGACTGAAGAACAGCAGCATTCTTATACAATTTTTTTAGTTCTAGCAACTTTTTTTTTTTACTATCTGAAGTTGTAGGATCCTTAAAGCTGTAAGGTCTTTCATCTTGTGAGTTTTCATTGTCACTAATATTTGGAAGAGTTTCACGCTTCTTTGGTCGGGAAAAGTTTATTTTTTTTAGTGGGGCTGAGTTTGCTGATTTGCGTGATTTTTTCCAACTGCACAATGTGCTAGTGCAAGATATTTTATTTAAACCGAGCTGTGCACACGCAACAAGTTTAAACAACAAAGCACCGATGTGACTACACACAGAGCCCAATCTATAGTTTCAAAAATGTATAACCAATTAAATTTCTTAAAATACTTGTTTAAAGTAAAATTAAAATTAAATTATTTAATTAATGTACTTACCCTGCCATGCATTTGCAATTTGCCGTTAAAATCCACCCATTAACTTTATTTATTGCAACCCACACTTTGTAACATTTCTGCTTCTTTCCTTGTCTTTGACTTGGAAGCACCTTTAATAAATTAAAAGTTGAATAAATAAGTAAAAACGTATATCATTTTACATTTTACTCAAAATAAATTTTATGGTTTTAACTTTTCAAACCCTTTTTTTTTTGCACTTTGACGGTGAACTTTACTTTGTAATTTGCAAAATTACCTCAGATTGAATGAAACAAAATTCATTCGTTTCTTCAATAAATTATAGTATACATCTTGAACATGCCCACAAATGTAAAAGTTGTACGATTCCAATGATTTATAGGCTTTCATTGAATCGTGTGTAAAGTTACTTGGGGAGTTAATAAGGTAATTGTACATGTCACCCCATGTAATGTCGGGCATCATTGAAACGTCGTTTTTCCAATTTTCAAGTACGAAAGGGTCAGGGAGTAACATTCCATTTGACAAAGTTAATTTTTTTTTTATCTAATGTTAAAAAGTAATCAGATTCACTCCACATTTTCTTTTGCGTGTTTTCTTTCTATCCTGCCAGTGTCCTTCGCGTCCGAAAAAATGTAAACGTGCGACGTCACTTTGAAATTCATCTATATATATCTTATTTATAACTTTTTTAGCTATGTAAAATAGATTTTTAAAACTAAATAATCTTTTCTTAACAGATTAGAAAAATAATTAATACAAAAAATTTTCAAAAACTATATAAATTAAATCTCAAAACCAGTCTTCAGTTCAAACTCTTAAAGAGAGTAATGTTAAATAAAGTTTTGTTTATCTTTCTGTGCACCTTCAGCGGGTCGTTGATACAAGTTTCAACATAAAACGACAAAACAATGGAAACGGCCTTTATTTCCAGACTATTTATTCTTATGACTATGGTATAAAATAAACTGTAAGGTGTTAGAAATTACTTTAAAGAACGCGGGAAACTTGCAGAAGACCGATGATCTTGAAATCAAGAAACCGCTAAGCGTTACTAATATTTTTGGATACTTCAATTAAAATTAAAGTTTATATTTAAAAAATGATGTTATGAGTTTTGCCAGAATAAAAATAAAAATGCAAAATGCAAAAAAGGAAAAAAAACAAAGAATGCAGACAAAAAGTTTTTAATTTTTGTAATTTTTTTTTAATACACGTGTTGATAAATAAGCCTATCATTTATTATTATTTTATGTTGTGGTTTTTGAGTTATTAATTTTTCTTTAAAGTTATTAGAGATTTTTAGACATTGATTAGAGATTACATTGGTTTCGGAACAGAGTTAGTTTTATACATAGTTTGAAATGTTTTGGAAATATATTTATTTAATGCAGGACGTTGATTGAAAACGTAAAAAAACTGTTTAAAAGTGACATGAAATTTTAATAAAATTAAATAGTTCAAATTTTAAATTGTGGGCATGTCTACTTACAAACAATTAAACCTAAAATAGCCCCCTAGATGGTCTGGATCCACCAAATCATAAAAATCTAAAAAATTCTCCCTCTGTCAGTCTCTGATTGTTTAATACTCGTATTGTCAGTAAAAGCATATTTTTTTTCTTTGTTCTTCAAAAATTTACAGAAAAACATGTAAAGTTATCGTTAACATTTTTAGGTGGTTTGTTTTTGAAAAATTATCAGTTTCGAATAGCAAATATATATCAAGCTAAATTTTTATATTCAAATTTGCGTGATATGAAGATCACTTGGTAAAAAAAATGGGCTTCGATTGCAGTTGACGATCCCCCTACCGTATGGAATTGGCAAAGTTATCATTATATTTTTTGAAGCTATGCGCTCTATGCATATATAAACATTTCCATTTTAAGCTTACGTTACACGCGTAACGACTTTATTTAGTGTTTGCTTATTTAAACTGTCAATTAAGTTATCTTGCCAGACAAAGAGGATGAACTTATGCCATTTTAATTACGTTGCGCAGAAAATGCCATTTTTCTTACGTTACGCAGAATGTTTTCTGCGTAAGTAAGGTAAGGTAAATTTTTGTTTCAACTTTAGGTAAGATTTCTGCAAATCAGTAAGGTGAATTGTATTGGAAATTTTCATATGACGTTGAGAATTCAATACTAATTACAAAAATAAAAAAATTTCATCAGAGCTGTCGTCCGTGCAATAAATACCTTTGTTAAGCAAAGGTATTCGGTGTTTCCACCGAATATAAAGAATCCATCCGACAACAAAACTTGTATATTTTAACAGCAAAAACATTAAATAAATTTTATTTTCTTCTGAAATGAGTTTTCAAAACAAAAGGCAGAAGCTGCATCTGTAGTTGCGAAGAAGCAAAAAAAGTTTACCACATATTTTCTGATACCAAAAAATGTGGTAAAGTTTTTAATGTGCTTGTGTCTGGTAAGAACCAGACACGTGCGCATCTGTTGTTTCACAACATAAAGAAGCGAAAGGCTTATCTCCTCAGAGAAGTGTTGATGATTACGTTGGCAATGATGCAAATTACGTGTCTGACGTTGAGCATACATTTTATGGTGAAGGGAAATACAATTTTAACTAACAATACGACTTTAACTTTTAATCAAAAAGTCATTAAAAAAACTGAAACTTGGCTGAAAGTCATTGAACGTCTTTGTCCAATGCGTAATAATTAGCTGGAAGAAATCTGCCATTTTGCGGTAATATCAAAAAGCTTGTCAAAGCGGGTAATGGAAACTCATAACAGAACCATACATGATCCACATCTACACCATCACATAAATCGAGTGTGGCTGTCACATGTGATGCACATCAAATTTTCTTGTCGGGTAAATTTTAAAAAACTACTCGTGGATCTCAAACGATTAAGTTTTAAAAAACAGTTGCTCAAATCTGCTGTTAATGAGGAAAAAAGTTTTATATTCAATTTGTTATAATACATTTGATCTCATTAAAATTTACTTTAATTATAGGAAAGTGTTTTGAATTACTTTAAAATAAAGTACTTGAAAAGGTTCTTCATTTCAAAACTGCAGTACTTGAAAAGGTTCTTCATTTATTCTTCTTGTAGCCCTAGATATCCCGGAAAGGTGTTTTAACACTAAAATTTTATTTAAAAATTAGATTTTGAAGTTGAAATTATTTTTAGTCATTAAGGTACTCTGAGAAGTCCTTACAGTCTTATCACAGAAATTACAGAAGAGCATTTAACAAAGTCGTCCACGCCTCCTTCTTTACCAATGTCACTTTTTGGGCGTCGAACCTGGGACCTCTGAGTTCTGAGCAAGAAATCTAACCACTGCGTCACAGCTGCATAAATAAACCTGAGTAGCAGTTCAATACATACTTGTAATGTATATGAGTAGGATAAAAGAGAAACCTTGACAAATCGTCCTCTCAATATCTTGTTCTATCTACAAATGTAATAAATAAAATGTTTTATCTAATATATAAAATAAATACAAAAAAATTATATATAAATAAATACAATTTATTTATATATAACTTTTTTTTTAATTTTATATATTACAGTTTATTTATTACATTTATAGATAGAACAAAATAATACTTAAATGTTTCTTATAGAAATTTCTATAGTCACGAAAACTATACAAATTTGAAAGAGTCTGTTTTAAAAGAATACACCCTGTAATCTGTTGCACTCTGTATCTGTTTTAAGAGTTTTAATCCTGTTTTACAGTAAAGCTTCTCTGATTTTTTTTTTAGACAAACTAGTTTTATCGGAGCGTTGTATAATAAAAGGAAAAACAAATAATTGATTTGATAACATAGAGACGGTTAAATATAAACGGTAAGTAAATTTACTAACAATTTCAAGTTGTAAATTCTGGCTAACATATTTAGCATATTGTACTGTCTAGCATTGGGAAAATTTTTTTTCTAAACCGTTCTAAATTTTTAAAAACAAAAAAAAGGGTCTTGTAGTTCATTAAAATTTTTACTTTACATCATGGAAAAGCTACAAGCTACATTCTGCAAAAATTCTACATATGGAAATAATTTATTTAGGGAACTAAGTTTTTTAAATGAAAAACATCTTTATAATGTTGACCTAAATGTTAAAATTTATTAGTAAATTAAATTATAATAAATGATTTGCAACTTTATTTTTGTAACTACTTAACTTCCCGATGTTCGATGAGACTTTAAAACCTCGATGAGACTTTAAAACTCCGGCTATGTAACTTTTTGCTTCATAACCATGTTACGAAACAAAATCACTTTAGTATATTTGATTATTAATTAACTTTTTTATTACTTTTAACTGAAGCAGACTGATAAAAGATTCTTATAATATAATGTTAAATGAAAACAATGACAAATATTTTAGTCGAAATTTAATCCCAATTTAAACTCAATTATTGCCACCCCACCTTGCATTAAGCACCTAAGACTACATATTTAGAGGCAAAAGTTAATTTTTTGGATAAATGGTGTGCAATCTGAACAAAATTACTTTATGCAATGATTATAAAGTCTTTATTAAAAACAAAAACATATTATTATAATAATCTCTCTATAAATTTCTCTAGCAACAGGTCTATAATTTATAAATATAATCTTAAACATTCAATAAAACGCAGAGAAAAGCAAGGACTATTATACATGTTAAACTACCATGGCTTACAGCACCACCAGATGATATCTCAATAATCGAGAGTTTAAGAACAAATTTTGGTTAATAGAAATAAAATGTCTTTGGTTAAAGAGAAATCATACACCCAAATAAATAATAATCGACAAATCTTTATGTTAAAATGAAAAATGATAAACCTGTCTAAGTCTTTGCCAGCTTTTTTACACTTTACAGAAAATAATTTTTACAACCTATGGATACTCGACATTTAAAATTTCTATATAACCTATTTGCTACTCAGGACAATATTGGCTTGAGTCTCTCTTAGTGACTTAAATACTCAATAACATAGCATCTTTTTTTTATTAAAGACATGATTTCAGAATTAGGCGGCTATTATGAACCACGTGACGCAATTTTATTCTCGGGAGGGCAAAAATGTAATCAAATCTTTTTTAAACATAAAAACAAACCAGTAAATAATAAAACAAACTAGGTATAAAACATCAAAACTTATATGCTTATATAAAAGTTATATAAAACTTCAAAAGTCATTATATTTACTCACATTAATTTAATTTAAATATAAGTTAAGAGAAATTTAGATTTATTATTTAAATAAAATCTTCTCTGTAAATCTTTAAGTAAGTAAAACATGAAAGATGTACATACAGTTAAATTATACTGATTAAGTGGGTGTTTTTGCAATAAGTTTATTTGATTGCTTATTTATTTTCTTGTTGTTTAAATAACAATTTTGTATAACTTAACTTTGATTATTCTTATGTAACTTATAATTGGCATTATTTTGTAAATATTTGTTATTATGTTGAGTTTATCTTGCATTTAAACAATGTACACTTTGTATACCTCCAAGTACTTCTAAAGGAATACAAATGTTAAGACAAAAAATTCAAGAAACATCAAACAATGCTAATCTACGCATTTACGTAGAGCAGGCAATAAAAAGGAAAACACTTCCGTATTTTAAAAATAACACAGCCATTACTATACTACCAATCATGAATAATATACTGCGTGCATGAGCTGCTATATTAAACTTGAGAAAACCAATAGTCTTTAACTAAACAATTTTGTTTGCTAAATGTTTTTTTCTTTTATAACATAATATAAAGTTTTTATTTAAAAATATAATGTTCCTCAATGATTATAAAAATTTCAACTTAATTTTTTGATTGTAAAATTTTTCAAAAATTCAGAATTTTTTTTTCAAGAAATACAACTTTTTGTTAAAAAAAAAATTAAAAAAATGATTATATTAATCTAATATATATTTTAGATAAATAATTTAAATACAATGACTGATAAGAAAGAATTCAATGTACCAATTTCTTTCAATGCTTTCATTCGTGTTTTTTCCTTATTATTTATACCATTTGTTTCATTATTTGCTAGTCTTTTATAACAACTAGTTATTAAACATGGTTTGGTATCTTATAGAGGATTTATTCCAGACACGCTTGTTCAGAACACGTTGGATTACACCAACCTTTGTTGTTTGTTCAAAGATTTTTTTAATTATTCTTTTCCAAATTAATGATTTAATACTCTTGATCTATAAAAATTATTTTCATTTACAAAATGTTTGATTTTAAGTCTTTTAGTAAAAACCATTTTTACTTGAGGTAGTTGCAATTTATACTTGAGGTAGTTGCAATTTATACTTGAGGTAGTTGCAATTTAAAGAATCTCCAATATCACAGCAAAAGATTTAGATGAATAAATGAAAAGTTATTTACTTGTTTGTTTTTTTTTAATTTGAAATAAAAATTTTAATACTGTGCCCTTTTTTACATTTATTCACAACAATTTATGGCAATTTAAAGACCAGATTTCAAATCGTACTATTCTCGTAATTTCAAGAACCCGCATTAACTGTGTTGAGATTTAATTTTTAGCAAAAGATTCAGATGAATAAATTAAAAAGTTATTTACTTGTTTTTTTTTCTAAATTTGAAATAAAAATTTTAATACTGTGCCCTTTTTTACATTTATTTACAACAATTTGTGGCAATTTAAAGACCAGATTTTGACCAGATTTTAAATCGTACTATTCTCGTATTTTCAAGAACACACATTAACTGCGTTGAGATTGTCAACTAGTTTAAGAACACCAATGCGTTGAGATTGGCAATCAGATGAGATTTAATTAATATTAAATTGGCGTATTAACTATAATCAATATTTTCAAAACTAGTTAAAAGTAAATCCTTAACAACTCCATGTGGAATATGTTTTCTACCACTATTATAGAAAAAAATTCAAATGACATACTGAGAATTACCAGTTATTAAGTATTATTTTCTAAATTTAATATAAATTTATAAAATTCCTTATTAAATGAACTGAATTGCATTGGGTGTTTTTTTTTTTGCATAAATTTTTTTAATTTGTTGTTTTGCAACAATTTACAACACAGTAATTTTTTTTTTTAAACTTTTTTTTGTAGCTTTTTATTTTCATGATATTACTTTACATAGAATTTCTTTTAAGAAATTATTAAGAATATAAGACTGCGATAAAATATATAACTTATTTTTTCGTTTTATCTTTTTTTGTTAGATAGTTTTTTTCAAATACCATACAAAAGTGTGGCAACTTTTTTTTATATACAGATGTACTATACACATTTATATATATATATATATATATATATATATATATATATATATATATATATATATATATATATATATATATATATATATATATATATATATATATATATATATATATATATATATATATATATGTATATATATATATATGTATATATACATATATATTTAACAATTATATATATATATATATATATATATATATATATATATATATATATATTTAACAATTATATATATATATATATATATATATATATATATATATATATATATATATATATATATATATTTAACAATTATATATATATATATATATTTATATATATATATATATATATATATATATATATATATATATATATATATATATATATATATATATATATATATATATATATATACTTGTTAAAAATATATAAAGCTTTGAACAAAGCGTTAACGAAGTTAGATAACAAGTAAGACGGAACTTTGACATCTCAAAAGAAAACTTTTGACTTCTTAAGTGACAAAACTCATCATTTTCACAAATTCTAAAAAAAAAAAAAATTATAAACGTTTTGATGCAAACGTTTCATTATGTTGCACGTTCGCAAAATAACGAAAATTAGATATAAATACTAATCAAATATTTAAATAGTTTAAAATAAAAATTAGTATATGATTTATAGTAATATATTAGATAATATTTAATAAAATGCTAATAAAAAAGAACAAAAATAAATAAAAATAACAAAACAAAGGATTTTAAAAGTTTAATTATTTATAAGGGCACATCTATAAAGTAAGTACGCAGTAAAAAAACTGGTTTAGTATCCCCCTTCCCCCTTGTACAAACCTGTAAGTTTTCGAAGACCCCCACCCTCCACCACTACCACCACCACCTTTGCGTAAGTACGCATTTTTTTTTTTTTTTAAAGTCTAAAAAACTGGTTTACTTTTTTTGATTTTTTTTGTTCATGCAATCAAGGGTGATGACAATCAAGCGAACCTTTATTATGTTTCATAATTTTACTTTACGACTACTAATTAGATTTAACCGTTGGAATTTTTAAAAATTTCATTTATTGATGAACTTTAAAATAAAAATATTTAACTCTTTCGATATTTTTTGAGAAATAGATCAAGATATGGATAATGGGCTGGATGGTATACTGTTTTATACGTTATTTTGCAAAATCCCTAAAAAATTTTAGTTTCAGTTATTTTTAAATCAAAATTATTTTTTATTAATTATTTCATACTATATAAATATATGATGCTTTTTTTTTATGATTTCTAATAGTTTATTGCGACATCATGTAGACAATAGAATAGAAGTCTCGGTAAGTAAGGTTTCTTCATTATTATTTTTTTAAGTTTTTATTCCCCAAACTTAAATGAAAAAAAGATAATTTACACTCACCCTAATAAAAATTAGCAAAAGGAGTTGCAATATTAAAGACGATCCATGAGTGGATAGTATAACCAAGCAGCTTGATTATTAATCCAACAACTATTTAGTGCTATTGTACTAATTCACAATTAGGTAAACTACTTTTTTTATAGGATTAGAGTCGCAACTGTATTAGACTTACAGTATGGTACAGGGCATTTTTAAGTTATTTGACACAACTGCATATGTGTTGTAGGGTATAAAATGCAGTGCTTAAATAGACTAACATTAGCCTAATTTAATGCTAACCTAGTAAAACGTTAATCTAAAAAACAGCTTTTAGCATCCTAACGCAGCATGCGGCTAACAATAATGCTACGCTGACCCAACAATAACAAATGCGTGTCTCCAATCATATAGTACTGGTCTAGTACTACGGTGTTTATTATAAATATTAAAGAGTTTAATATTATACTTACTTTTTCAATATTTTTCTTACCTTGATAATCAATATTTCCATCTCCATTAAAATCCGCTTCAACAATCATTTCAGCTATTTCTTCTTCGGTTAAATCCTCTCCAAATTTAAGCATGATATCGCGAAGTTCATCTGAACTTATAGATCCATTTCCATCTTCATCGAAAAAATCAAAAACCTAATAAGTAAAGATTCTATATTACAAGTCTGATATAATGTTTATATGTTTTGTTAAAATTTTTGTTTGAAAATTGTTAAAATTTATATGTTTTGTTTGCTTTTTTAAAAGAAAAAAGAAAAACCTCTTTAAGTTCTTGTGAAACAGCTTTGTTGCTCAGTTTTCTAGTCATTAGGGTGATAAATTCTTGGAAACTAAGTTCTCCGTCTAAATCTGAATCAATTTCTTTTAAACATGAATCAATTTCTTCTTTAGATGTTTCGTGACCCAAATTTTTCATCACAACATCCAGCTCTTCCATTGATATCTTACCGTCGCCATTTAAGTCAAACATAGCGAAAGAATCTTTCAAATCTTGAAGTTGGGCTTCACTGATATTTTTTTCGCAGCTCTATTAATTAAAAAAAAAAACTTTAAAATGTTATTATTCTTTTTTTTTAATGTTTCCTAATGTATAAAATAATGTATAAAATGCAAAAAAAGAAAAAAATTACTCCTTGTCTTTTGACGCTACGATTTCTCCTTTTGACTTTTTTAATTACTTGGCTAACCACAAACAAGTATTCATCAAAATTTAATTTTCCCTTCTTTTCTTCATTGACAGAAATAACCATTTCTTCCACATCTTTTTCTAGAGGTTTTGGTTTGAGACATCGTAAGCTGGTTGCAAGTTGCTTTGAAGTAATATAACCCGTTTTTTTCGTATCAAAGTAACAAAAAACATCTTTAAGCTGTCCCAAATCCTCTTTATTAAATTTCATTTCATTCTTAAAATAAATTTGTAAATATAAAAAATCACAAAACAATCTTATTCTTTACATAAGTATGAACATAAAAAAGTTTGGGATTTAAAATTTACCCGGAGGTTACTTATGAAATTATCTCAAAAAAAAAACTTTATTTCATGTAAAAATAGATAGCGGAAATATGCTTAATAGTGTGGCGGAAATTAAAATAAAAACATTATTTTTACGTTAAACTAATATATTATATATATATATATATATATATATATATATATATATATATATATATATATATATATATATATATATATATATATATATATAATGAAAATAAAAAAAGGGCATTTTAGGGTATTGATAACTTTAGCAAAATTCAGATTGAACTTTTGCTTTTGGTTTTCTTTAAGAATAAAAGTATATCTACTTTAGGAACCAATTTTGCTTTGGCCTTATGTTTTGTTGAGGAATTATTAATGTTTTGGTTTTTCAATTTATCTAAAGAAATTTTGTAAAAAAAATTTAGCTATCATATTTTTTTTAAAATTAAATTTTTATTACAGTCAGTTGATTTAAAAAAATACAGTATGTGATTTAAAATTTTACAACTTACAATTGTTACAAAATATTGTTCAATATTTTATAAATTTATTAATTTGTTAATGGCTATTTTTATTACATAATAGTTATGTTAACTGCATTTTTATTTTTACTGCATAATAGCATTAAATTAAACAAATTTTTTAAATGATTGTTTTAATGAAATAAAATAGCGATTATCTCATTAATAAAATAACTAATTAATAAAATAAATAAAACAACAAAGTACATTATAACCGTAAAAAATAACAAAGTACATAATCCAGTAAATATTAACTTGCTAAGTTATATAACTAAATATAATTGTATTTAGTTAAAATCTACTTTCGCTCAAATTTTTGGTAGATAATTAGTAAAGAATTGACAAAAATTTGTAGATAATTAGGAATTTAAAATTTCTATTAAACATAATAGCTATTTGTTTAAGCAACTTGTTCTTTATAAATATAACTTTCTTTTTTTTTTTTGGACAAATTGTTTGTGTTTAAGTGAACTTGACTCATAACGAACTTCTATTTGTGTTTATATTGTGATTCCTCATTATAGTTTTATATGGATAACAAAATCAATTGCTCCTTTGTAAATAGTTATGGAGATTTTTTGTCAACAATCATATACCAAAGTAAGAAGTCTGATTGACAGGATCATAAATTATTTTGTAAAACAAACAAATTCGAAAAAAGAACAACTTAAATGATATGTTAATAATAAGATATTAGAGTAATCAGAAAAGTTGCTGTAATCCATTTATTTACATATTTATTTATCTATTATTTCATTATATTCATTATATATTTACACATTTATTTACACACCAAAAAGTTTGTAAAGATAAAAATTTATATATTTATATTTTAACGGGTAACACAATTCTTAATAAGTTGTTGATAAATTTTTTTTGGTAATAGGATTTGTATATTGTTTTATAATAATATAATTAATGTTACAGTATTTAAGAGTCAGAATCAGGCAGTCAGCGGAAGTGACCCTTCTAAATTGCTTGAATTTTTTATTTGTTGATCAGAATATAGAAAAAACCTGTTGGGTAAAAAAAAGTTTTTCAAAAATGTTTCTTTCACTCGGAATCCGGGTTTAATATTTTGAGACTGAAAATTTAGAAATTTAGTTTTTTCCGCCTTTGAATCCATTTTTTTTGCCAAGACAAGAAGTTGGACATAATTTTTGTAGTTAATATTAGACTCAAAAGCTCTCTCCAAAAAATATAAAAAAGTTGCGTGACAATCTGAGATTGGTAAATTATCATAGTTCAAAAGTAAAAAATCATTCAGTTTTGACAATTTTTAATGGAAGTTATTTCTAACAGCAAAGAGTTGCACACGATTTTTCTTGGAGGATTTGTAAGTATAGATATTATTTGTAAGTCTAAAAATGCAAAGTAAATGCAAAAAACTATGTGATACCTAAGGTCTATTCATATATTGTGGCTTGAAATAAAAAAAAAAATGTTATAGTATACTTAAAAAACGACCATGATGGATGAGGCACAGACGAGAGATTCGAATCGGTTTTCGCTCAGCAGCACGATACATTTTCTATCTTCCCAAATTAGCATTGCAGAAAACATTGCACGTAATGTTACGAAAAAATTTGAATGTTTCTGACTGTGATATAAAAATCATAACAATTGAAATAAACAATAATAAAATACAAAATACGATCAGAAGTGAATCATTTAGACTTACTTCATAAGCAAATAACTTTTGGTGATTGAACGGAACGAAGAATCTCCGATATCACGATTATCGAAAAACTAGTTAGTGGGCAATTGTCATAAAGCAATTTTATTTATCATAAAATGTCTTACCTTCATTTTGAAGGTCTTAAAAAATTCCATTAATAAAGTAGATATTTTATCATTGTTATTGAGAAATAGGGGCTGCATAAATAAACTTGTTTTTAGTTGAGTATGGAACAAAACAAAATTTTTTATGAAAACTGTTATTGCTTTTCAAAAGGAAATTTTGTATCATTCAAAAAACATAAAACTATAAAAAATGTATTCTACATCCATCAGCTGGGAGATGTTGATGTCAAAAAACACCTCATCAACCTAAAGGTTATCATGTTTTTTAATTGTACGCAGACTGTAATTTTTATAATTACATACTTTATAACTACTCCAAAACAAGTTTTTGAGACAAAGTTTTTTGAACATAAAGAAATAGCTATTTTTATTAATTCCCAACTCTTTTAATAAATCACTAAATTAATCACACTCTTGCAATATTCTATATTATTAATAACAACAATGTATTTCAAACTTGTGAACATTTTTTGTGAATAGTAAGAATCAGATTATAAACAATGCTTTAAATGATACACCTAATAATTGTTTAAAAAATTGTTTTTAGGTCATGTGATCCAACAATAATAATGTATGGGAAGAGAATGAACTAATTGCAAATAGGCTTAAAGAAGTCTTAAAAAGGATGAACAAACATGTGCTTTTTACCGGTATACCTTTGGTGTTGCATGGAGTCCTCCAAAAACATGCTTTCATACTCACCATTTAAATATTAGAGGAAAAAAAACTCCCGCTTTAAGGGCGTCACCAATACATTTCGTCTTCAAAATGTGAAATCGATACAATAAAGATTTTTATTTGGTTCAATGCTGTGTTTTACTCATTTTAAACAAGAAACTGCTTTATCTAAAGTCGATGAAAACACCAATCTATGTACAGAAGCACAAACACAACAAGAACAAACATATGGACACCTGCGACTCCAGAGAAAGAATTTGACCCCGGTGAAATTAATGTTTCACAAGAGATTTTGGATAAATTTCTTAAAAACCGTGAGAGTGTAACCAAAAATCTTAATGCAAGTCCTATAAAATATAGGTTAAAAAGGATGTTCAAATATCTGGAAGATACTACTACAGATAAGTTAACGCAAGAAAAAAACTTAAAAAACTTAATAAATTCGCTTAAAAAACTATTAAAGAAACTCCTGGATCTAAAGAATCTTACCAGTAAAAGATGAAAATAAATCCTCTGCCAGATGAAATTATTTGCGCTTAGAAAGTATATATGTAAAGTGATTCCATGGAAAAGCTAACATGCTCTCCCAGCAAAAAAAGTTCTATAGAATTTTCTATAAACTTTTAAAACATATGGCCTATAAAAGTTCTATAGAATTCTATAGAGCTTCTATAGAGTTTCTGTTAACTTTTAAAAAAACTCCTATTGAAATTTTTTTTCTACTTTTTTTTAGAGAAAAAAAGTTTTATAGCAATTTCTATAGAAATTCTCTAGACCATATGTTTCAAAAGTTTGTAGAAAATTCTATAGAACCTTTTTTTACTGGGCTATCAAAAAAGTTGCAGTGAATTGTGATGTTGTTTTATTAACCACTGCTGTTTTAGACCAATTTAGAATTGATCAACCGCATCTTAAGAAGATGTTTACCAAATCTGAGAATGCCGGCTGCTATCAAGGAACTCTTTCAGCTAAAGCTATGTACAATGTATGCAAAAAGAGAGATTCGTGAGATATGATTATAATGAACCATGTTATGGAAAAGATCAATGTGACAGGGAAAGTACAGTTGCAACGACAATCTTTAGGAGTTACGTTGATTCGGATAATAAACTTTTGACTGCTGAAAGTATACAAAAGGCTATGCATTATAGTTTTGGTACTAAAGATGCAAAAGTAGCAGTTAATCAAACTAGCAATGATAAAACTGTAGCTACTGGACCAAAGATTAAAAACATTAGCAACTATTACTCATTCGAATTTGTTGAGAAAATTATGAAGGTGTGGCGTTACTTAAGTGTGGAAATCTTAAAATTCAACCCTCAATTAATTTGTTGTTGCCATATAGCAAACAGATATTCAATTAAGCGAAACAAGTCACTAAAGGAAAAACAGAAAAAAGTTACAGACAATTATGTTCATAAAAGATTTTGTACTGAAATAAATTATCATTTGAAATCGATGCTGAGTTAGAAGGATACATGCTATCCTAAAAGTATTAACGCAACATTTTAAAATAATATTATTATTTTAAAATGTTGCGCTAATAATTTTAGGTATCTATAACTGGGATCAGAGTTAATTGTATGAATAAGGGACAAGAGAAGAATAATTTTGCTGGCTAGTTACTACCGAGGAGATAAACTACAAAACTGAAAAAACATCTGTTTAGTAGATGCTCTTTTTCTAATCAATGGTTGTGGCGATTATTCATTATTCGAAGAAGACTATAATGCAGTCATATCACTATTCTTAGAGAAACTTATTGCAGTAGAGCAAAACATATGTGTGATGTAATGGATAATTTGTTTCAAGTGTGGAAAAACTCTTTCTATTTCTAAATGAACAACTAATTTTGAAATAGATATACATTTAAATGTTTGGTGTGACAAAATTACACACGTTTTTTTTGTTATTATGTTAG